ACAAACTTACCTGTTCTCATGCAACCAAAATTATAGTTGACATCTTACATGGCTAATTTTTTTTTCCTATGTACTTATTTTCCCTCCCTTCCTTCACTTCATGAACCTTATTTGTCAACATTTCATATCTTTCCAATATCTTTAGTCTTGTTTTTTTTCCCAAACATTGAATTTTCTCTCATTCTACAATCCTCAAGTTTCTCTGCAGATTAGCAGGTTTGTGACTTTCACTGAAGTGATCCTAAGTGAATTTTCTCTTTTCCTCTCCATTGTCTCTTAGAGTCATTTACATTCACTACTTCCTTACCCCATGGATTTAATGATTTGTCAGGCATTTTGGGCACAGCATTCTGCTCACTTTGATAAAGGTCATCATTCATTTGTGTTTCCAAAACCAAATGATTTCCTGTTAGCTTAACGTATTGTGATAATCCATTAGTATTTGATCTCATAAACTGTCTCCTTTTCTTCTTCATGTGTCCTAAATGTTGTATTGCCATGAGTTCTCTCTCTCTCTCTTTTTAAAGTCAATTCATCATGGTTTCAACCATCACCTGTAAACCAGTGACATGGCTCCTAAATCTACATCTCTAAAGCCTGCTAGCTGCCTGAATTCTTTTCCAGCTACCAACTGGGAAATTTATGACACTATATTGTGGAGTCCTTAAAGTTGTTTTGTACTTACCTTCCCTTCCTTAGCTCATCTCACCTCATGGATTTACAGTTATAAGAACTATTACTCCCTTATATCGAAGCTGGATTGACTGTTGCTTGCAGTCACAGCAGCATCCACTGTGGAGTTACTTCACTGCACTAACATCACACATGCCTACCTCTGCTACACACATTGTGTCAGGACTCTGAAGGCATATACCAAATGGTTTTGTTCCTGGATTCCCAAGACTTGTCGTAATGGATCTTATTTTAGAATCCTCTTGTATGGAAAACTTAATAGTGGCTAAAATAAATATATTTTTTTTATTCTAGCAAATATCCAAAGATAGGTGGTAACTGTCATTGGCTTATCTGTCCAGTGATGCCATCAAGAGCAAGACCCTTTGCTCCTATTAACACAACATCACAGGAAAAGGAGAGTCGGTACCAGCAAACTGCCCTCTGACAGCCCCTTCTTTAGAGACAAGACATTAGCTTTTTAGCATATTTCTATCAGCCAGAAGATGGGGAAATGTCTTTCCAGCTGCAAGAGAATCTGAAAGGTAAATTTTGAGTAAGATTCATCTTTTTACTAAAACAGTTGTTGGAGTTAGACTCCATAGTCACAACTGCCACAATGAAATCAGGGATCTTTTTCCAATTGGGTTAAAGGCGTGGGGCTAGACTAAAGACCAGGGCAAGAAGTCTCTCCAAGACCAGAGGAGAAAAGGATCCCAGTGGGAGCATCATCTGGCTTACAGGAAGAAAACCCCGGTGTATCTTATGAGGAATCTAACATCCTCTGACCACCTGGTTCACAACTTTATAGCATTCTTTATTGTTGCATATATAGGCTTGTCTCTTATGTAGAGACTGTACATTTTCTGTAAATTTCACCTTTTCTTCTCTACCTTTTTCTGACTGTGCTATGCCTCTAACGGTATGGGAATCAACATTTTACCTGATTTTCCTTGTCCTTTTTTTTATTTGGTAAATTACAACTAATTGTTCTTTAAAATTGGATTTACACAATGCTATGATCTCTGCTTACTTGAATCATACATTCTTTTGAATTATGGAAATATATTCACTTGGACATTTTTATTCACTAATGTTGTACATTATATTTTTTATACCTAGCATTCACTTATGAATTGAACTTTTTGTACTATTCCAGTTTGTGCCAGGATATCTTTTATTGATACATTAGTGTAAATCCTGCATACAGGTACAAGCTCATTGTACCTAGAGGTAGAGCTTTTTGCAATGAATAGGAAAACAGAAGCCTCATTAAGGGTAGAACACTATTAGTCTTGTCCATGTCAGTTTTTTATTAGAACTTAAAAGGACTGATTGTACATAAAGTATGAATGTAACTTAATACCCTTTACCAGCCAACCAAATCTGAGTAATGCCTCCATAAGTTATTATAACACAATATCAAATGCCAGGTGGATGAATGAAATACCATTTTGGGATCCTTCTTGGTGGTGCAGTGGGTTAAAGCACAGCCATCTGCAGCCACTGCAGCATGAGTTCAATCCCCAGCCTGGGAGGTGACCCACATGACATGGCAGACATCTCCTGGCCCACCTGCTGCTTCCCTCAGCAGTGTATTTCAGTACATCTGACTGTTCTGCTCCCCAACTCTGTCTCTCACCCCCCACACTTATGGCCAGTACCCCAGTTCTTGTATGCATAAATAAATTTTAAAAATAATTTTAAAATATATCATTTTTGTCTAGCATACTATTTTTAGAGACAAATTTGATTTCTAGAATAGTGTACCCATTAAGATATTTTGGACTGAGACAGCATTGAGATGGGTTTACATGAAATCCCTTAAAAAAATTCATGAGTCCCAGTGGCTTCTTTAGTTTGAGTGAGTCTGTGGTGTGACCACCTTTAAGGGTGGTCATGGAGAACAAACAGCATGAGATTCCCATTTTGAAGCTGCAGTGACTGACGTCACAGTATGATCAAAGTGCTCTGCAAATACTTACTGTAATTATTGTTGTTGTTCTGTTCTTGCTAATAACCTTATTTATACCCTGAAATTATAATCATCCAGAGAAAGATTAAAACAAGATGTATGAGTTGCCTAAGCTGTTTGCCTCACAGATGGTCACCCTCGGAGTTCTCTGAAATTGCCAGGGTTAATTGAAGCTTTGGTATTTGTGGCAGTGTAGTTGATACTTAAGTGTTTCTTACCTGTTGGCTTTCTCTTTCCAAAACAGTACAATAGCACTGTAATTTGCTCTCATTAATGTTAGCCTCTCAGGTAGTTTTAGTACAGCTTTATCTAGATGATGTTTGTTCCTCTGAATGAAACCTTTGTACCAGCTCCCCAGCTGACAAGAAAGCTAAATTGTTACAAAGGTAAAAATTTGAATGTCTCACTAATTTATTTATTTAAAGGATGCTCAGAATCTGGGAAATAGAAGGAGAATGAACTTTTTAAATGGAGGGTAGGCACTTAGTGTATGATTCACAGTAGTTCCTTCCTCTGATAATTCATTGAGCTGAGACAACTGGAAATCATTCTTAGGGAGCCATACAAATAGCTTTTGCTTAGAGTCAGCTAAGTGCTCCAAGGATAATGGTTATAGGTTCACACAAACAGCAGTACTATTTCCTCTATTTCTTTGGTGTTTCTCTGGTAGTATTGAGATATGTAAAAGCAATCTTATGATCAATCTTAAAAAGCCAAGGAAGTAAGAAACCCTTCCTGGCTTGTACAGCTGTGTGAAGCTAGACCAGTGAAAAGAACTGGATTTTAGAATGTTGCATTATGAAGTTCTTCAAGAGTGCTTGGCCTGAGTCTTGAGGTTTGAGTTCTGGAAAGAGGGTAACTATCCTCACCTAAATCGGCCTCCCAGTGGCATTCCTTGATACTCATTAAAGCCCAAGAGAAGCAGCATACCTGAGAGGTGAAGGAGAGAAAGCATTCTTGACTACAAGTAAATTAAAACAAATTAGCCGTTCCAGTTATAGGTTGCACAAGTGGTAATCAGAAGTAAAGCACAACTGGGTTAATTGGAAATAAGTGAATAATAAAGCTGTTTTTAAAAGAAGTAGAACATGGGTTTTCCATTTAGACTGCTCAAGTTCATATTGAAGTTCCACTAGTTATTGGTTAGGTGACCTTAAATATGTTACTTTAATTCATACTGTGTGGGTTTTTTTTCCCTCTGTGAATTGAGTATGAAAAGAGTACTCCTTGATAGTGAATTGGAGCTTAAATAGTTAATATATGTAAAGTGCTTAGAATAAGGCCTTACCATGGTGTACTTAACTTTTTTAAAATTGAGATTTACATGAAAGGTACTTTCATGTAAAGATGCTTTCCTTCCTCAAAGAATTTAATTTGCAAAATATAGCATGAATTATTTCCTCTGACTAAAATCATCTTTGTTATTTCAAAAGTACTTAAAACTAATATTCTACAAAAAATTGTAATTAAGAAACAATCATGTTTATAACATGAAATATTCTTACATATTTTTACTTGTCCTGGTAGAATATGTTATAATTTTCTGATATAATAAGGCAGAGCATTGTAAAAGGGTTCCATTTTAGTGGAAAGCAAAGCATCTGGCAAAGCAAAATTTGGCGGAAGATAGAACAGCAATCTCAGCCCAAAGTCATCCTTCTGTGCCAAGGCTTGTTCTACAATTACAACATATAGCAGTGGTAGACACAGAAAGCTGACAAGTATTAAATCCATCTTCTCTGTGGCTTGCCATACTTTAGTAGTTCTCTTTTATCCACAGGGGATATCTTCTAAGGTTCCTGAGATTGAAACCATGGGTAGTACTACACCCTATATAATCTGTATTTTTTCCTTTACATACCTATGATAAAATTTAGTTTATAAATTAGGTCCAACAAGATTAACAATAATAATAAAACGAAGCAATTATAACAAGTACTGTAAAAAAAAATTATGTGAATGTGGTCTGGCTTGCTCTTTCTCAAAATATCTTACAGTTTTTATTATTTTCAGATCACAGTTGACCACAAGTAACTGAAGCCGTGGATAAGGGAGCACTACTGTATATGCCAAATTCAAGTCATTTTATACATTTGTTCTTTGCATTCTAAAATAGGCACACCTGGAGCTGGTAGGAGTCTATCAGCCCTTCATGATGGACTTCCATACTTGGTAGTATAATAAAATTACTGATAATGGAACTTTGTTAGTGTGATACTTTGTTAGTCTGAACTTCAATTCCTTTCTGGATCTGTTTTAGTGATTGCTTTAACCATTCAAGACTGAGACTTTGGTGTGATTAGTGGGGCAGGCCTAAAGTCATGCTCATTCTGTTTCATTTTTACTTTGACAGGCCTAGAGAGGAAGAACCACCATAGGGTGGTGAACTGAAAGTGTGAACCTATCAACAAAGTAAGTAAAAAAGCAAACAAAAAACTGCTTGATTATCTGGGCTAGAATGTCATATAACAGAATTAGTTTGAATGAAGGGTCATAACCACAGACTTTTTCAGTTGCTTTCAATAGTAAATAAAACTCAAATACCTAACAAGGATTTGAGGAAATTCTATTGCCTTCATAATTCTCTCTGTTTTGAACTCAGTTAACTCAAGCAAAGGATCAGCATTAGCAATGAAAGCATACCAAGATGTGCCTTAAAAACTCTGACCCAGGCTTTCTCCTTTTTAGATATCCTCAAGTTTCATTACTGATAAATCTTGATAATTTGAAACTATAGTGGGAAGCATTAAGTCTGTGGGAAAACGGAATTCTAACAATGTTGCCAATATTCAGATCTTTATTTTGTACAAATGTACTATTTACCAAGTTATGTTGCCTCATAAGACAAATTGAGAAATGTTCTTTATTTTCTGAAAGGGTCTGTGTAAAGGTGGGATTACTTTTCCTTAAATATCGCATGGTCGGGGCCTCCCTGGTGGCGCAGCGGTTAAAGCACTGCACTGAGAAGCTTAAGCCACTTCCGATCCCCGCCTGCCCTGAGGAGCACCACACGAGACAAACCTCTCCTGACCCATCCGCTGCTCCCCTCCAGTGTACTTCCTCGATCTGCCTGTTTTGCTCCCCACTCTGTCTCTGGTGAATCCTCTCACCCTCACATCTCCGGCCTGTACTCCAGTTCTGCATGAATAAATACATCTTTTAAAAAAATATATAGTGCATGGTCACTAATAAAGCCAGAGCCTACAGTTTTTCTTGCAGGAAGGTGTTTTGTTTGGTTATTTTTATTTGTTTTTTTTTTTTTTTAAAGATTTATTTATTTGTACATACAGAACTGGGGTACAGGCCAGAGACTCAGGGGCAGTGAGACAGAGTGGGGAGCAGAACAGGCAGATCAACGAAGTACACTGCTGAGGGGAGCAGCGGGCGGGCCAGGAGAGGTCTGCCACGCCATGTGGTCTCCTCCGGGGCAGGCGGGAATCGAACTCATGCGGAAGTGGCTTTAGCTTCTCAGTGCAGCGCTTTAACCCGCTGCGCCACCAGGGAGGGCCTTTATTTGTTTTTTAAAGGCATTTCACAAGTTTATTCTACATTTTTCTGTAACAGATATGCAATTTATACAAAAATACAACCTTTTTGTTAATATTTACAGTTGACTTTGTAAGCAAAATTGGCAAAAAAAAAAAAAAATCATCTAGTTAATATTAACAGTTGACCTTAAACAAAATTGGCCAAAAAAAAAAATTAAGAATTTTTATACACATTTATAAAAATTTCAAGAATTTGAGCTTCAGTTCTTAAAGATATTTAAGTCTAGAAGCCAATAAATGAAGGGGAAGAGAAAAATATAAATAAGAAATTTTTTAAATTTTCCTTATCTTAAATATTGAAAGCATACCATATACCACTATTTTTGGTAGGGTTTTTGAAAATCAAGACTCTTGACTTAACTAGTCTGAAGTAAGGTCAACAGAGATTGTACTGATGAACTACAAATTCTGTTTTTTCTTTGTTACTAAGAAATTTGGTTTTTTAAAAATTTAATTCTACATTTGCTTGTAAATCTTTTTTATTTCCTCCTAATAATATTTTTATTTCTCAGTTAACTTTAGCACCTATTCTTTTTTTATTATTATATATTTTTTACATTGCTGTTCATTCTCCTCTCAGGTGTAGTAGTCACCATAAAATTTTCATGGAGGTAGCTGTGTAAAATTTTGGTAGATGTTTTCTCATTGGGTCCACTCAGTTCACCTAAAGGGGGACAGAACAGGTTCTGAACTAAATATGAACTTTTGTTCAGGTCTTTTTATATAGGAAACTCTTTTAAGAATAATGTTGTAATTCTAGCTTTTCATTTAGTGTAGACTTTTTCAAGATACTTGCTGTAATAGGAGAAAAGAATTCAGTATTGTATTTTTACTGCTTTTTTTTTTTACTTTGGGTTCATCCCTTTCTTATTTTACAAAGTCAGAAACTAAGTTAGATATGATGTCATCAACAATTTGAATATGACTACTCTGTACAAAGTTTCCTCTTTACTTAGAAGATGATTTTCAAGATCTTCATATTTCTGTAAGCAACATTCACAGTGTTCCTTTTTTCTTCCTGTCTTTCAATGGATTTGAATGGGAATTCCACCGCATTTATCACCATTTGCATGGATTCTTAGTTTAACCTAGGTTTGCTTTTGAAACATACATGACTTACCTATACCAAATGGACTAGTGGGCTTCTAAATAGAGTAATTTATGAAAGTCATGTTGGTCAGCTGATAATAAAATGGGCTGTAAAGTTGGCTTACATCTGCTACCTTTACAAAGGAGTTTTTGAGTCTGTGTGGCTTGCTTTTTGTGTGTCATTACTCTTTCCCCTACATCCCTTACAGAAGTGCTTGCTTTCTTGAGCGGTTCTTTTTCATTGTTTTCAGTTTTTCAGACATGGTGACAAAAGGTAAATCAATATAAAATACTTTTCCCAAAAGTGGATTGTATTTGGATTTTTCTGACTTGTTAACACTTTTCACAGGTTGCAAAAATGCTTTATTTTGTCCACTTTTGACTTGTATTCCACTCTGGAAATGTCCTTTATTATGGATCTGTACGGCTTCAGAGTTCATGGCAGTGCCAGAGCCCTGCATACTGGGTTTGGAGAGTTTGTAGTACTGGGCCACCAGTAACGTATGGCCGCTGTAGGCCCATTGACCAGCCTGTTGCGTCTTCCCTTTTGTGGGCTACTGTACTCATGCAGTAGAGATGCTGGGTCACTGGTGTGACTTCTCAGGTCACTCTAGCTCCAAGGCATGGAGGAGGAAGAGCAAAGCATAAATGAGTGGGCTATGGTGGTTGAAGAGCTGCTTATTTATTTTTTATGTGGTAAAGTTAAAAATTTCTAACCTTTTTAAAGTGTACAATTTAGTGTCATTAAGTATATTTACATTGTTGGACAAACATCACTGCTTTCCATCTCAAGAACATTTTTACCCTCCCCAACTGATTTTCTATATCATTTAAACACTGAACTCTCTGCATTTGTTTCTCTCCCCAGCTCCTGTCAACCACCATTCTACTTTCCGTGTCTTTGAATTTTTGTCTATTCTAAGAACTTCATAATAGAGTTAATACAACATCTGTCCTTTTGTGACTGCCTTGTTTTACTTAGTGGAACATGTCAGCACTCATCCCTCTGGTTACGTGTGTCAAAATCCCTTTCTTTGCAAAGGCTGAATAATACTCTGTTTTATGTGCATGTCATGCTTTGTTTATTTGTTCATCTTGCAATGGACACTTAGTGTTATGAATAACACTGCTATAAAAAAAATGACACCTCTTCTGGTTCTGCTTTCACTTGCTTTATAGTTTCTAATTTTATTCTTTACTGTTTTTTTTTTTTATTAAGGTACTATTGGTTTGCAACATTGTGAATGGAAAATATAAACTATCCCCATTCAGGTGTTATGTACATAATTTTTTTGTAGAAGCAAGCAACAGTTGTTTGGTAAATTTAAGGCTATTTAGACTTTTTCTTCTGAAATTTTGATAAAATGTTATTAGTGAATTATTTTTCACATCTAATAAATCTAGAGGGATTGATCTACTAGCTTCTCAGCATCTGTAGAGTCTGTGATGATGTCTTCTCTATTATTCCTATTATTGGAAATTTGTATTTTCTGAAACATAAACATTTGAGATCAGCTTTGCCAGAGGTTTATCAGTTTTATTAATCTATTCCGAGAACCAACTTTTGACTTTGATTTCTCTGTTTTGTCCATTTTCTATTTTTAAATTATGCTTTTATCTTTTATTTCCTTCTTTCTAATTACTTTATATCTGAAATATTCCTATTTTTCTAGCATCTTATGATTGAAGCTGATATCATTGGTTTGAGATTCTTTTCCTTTCTACTAATAAAAACTAGTAAAAGTACTAGTACTACTTTCTAGTAAAAGTAATAAAAACTATAAATTCCCTTTAACTATAAGCTTAACTGTATCCCATAATTTTTGCTAATTTAGATTTCATTATTATTTAATTAAACGTATTTTTTAATTTACCTTATGGTTTATAACTCATAAATCATTGCTCTAGTGGATAGCTTAATTCATAAATATTTGGGAATGATTCCAGATACCTTATTATTTTAACTTTAGATAAAAAAATAAAAATCAACGTTGCTGCCTGTAAGAGAAGCACTTTAAATGTAAATATACAAAAAAAAAATTTTTTTTTTAAGATTTATTTATTTGTGCATACAGAACTGGGGTACAGGCCAGAGGCTCAGGGGCGGTGAGAGGCTTCACCAGAGACAGAGTTGGGAATAGAACAGGCAGATCAATGAAGTATACTGCTGAGGGGAGCAGCGGGCGGGTCAGGAGAGGTCTGCCACACCATGTGGTCACCTCTGGGACAGGCGGGCATCGAACTCATGCGGAAGCGGCTTTTAGCTTCTTAGTGCTGTGCTTTAACCCGCTGCGCCACCAGGGAGGGCCCATAAAAAATATTTTTTAAAAATGATACAATAGGGGCTCTCAGTGCAGCTGGTTAAAGCACTGCATTATGAAGCTCTCCAAAGCCACTGCAGCATGAGTTCAATCCCCACCCAAGGAGCTGACCCACATGGCATGACAAATCTTTCCTGACCTGCCAGCTGTTCCTCTCAGCACAGTATTTCAGTCAGTCTGCCTGTTCTGCTCCCCGCTCTGTCTCTGGTGAATATTCTCACCCACCACACCTCTGGCCCCAGTTCTATAAACATAAATAAATAAATCTTTTTTTAAAAAAAAATGATACAGTATACAACCCACTATAACCCCAATGAGGTCATTTTAATATTAGACATAGTAGACTTCCAGAAAATGATATCAGAGATGAGGGATATTTATTAATAAAAGTTAATAAGCAATACAAAAAGTAGACTATGGTAAGGAAATATACTCTGTATTATTGCAATAGCTTGAAGTTTATTTTAGCTCAGTATATATGGTCTACTCTTGTAGACACTATATTTTCTGCAATTACTAGTATTCTGTAAATGCTAGTTAGATAAAGTTGATAATGTTTAAGTCTTCCATATCCTAATTGATTTTATAATGGTTTGTTTCTGAATGTTTTATTTGTTACTGGTTAAAAAAAGCATTAAGGCCCTCCCTGGTGGTGCAGCGGGTTAAAGCACAGCACTGAGAAGCTAAAGCTACTTCTGCATGAGTTCGATTCCCGCCTGCCCCGGAGGTGACCACATGGCATGCAGACCTCTCCTGACCCGCCCGCTGCTCCCCTCAGCAGTGTACTTCGTCGATCTGCCTGTTCTACTCCCCACTCTGTCTCTGGTGAAGCCTTTTGCCATCCCTGAGCCTCTGGCCTGCATCCCAGTTCTGTATGCACAAATAAATAAATCTTTAAAAAAGAAAAGCATTAAAATATCTGAATAATACTGTAATTTTCCTAGTTTCTCCTTTTAAATAGTTCTGTCTACTTGTGTCATGTATTTTGAAGCTCTGTTATTAGGCACATGTACATTGACGATGGCTATTTCTTGATGAATTGGCTCTTGTTATTAAATGTCCCTTTTTATCTCTATAGTAATGCTTTATTTAAGTTTACTTTGTTTATCAATATAGCCCTTACACATTTTTCAATTCAGTATTTGTATGGTATTTTTTTTTTAAGATTTATTTATTTATACACACAGAACTGGGGTACAGGCCAGAGGTGCAAGAGCAGTGAGAGGATTCACCAGAGACAGAGTGGAGAACAGAGCAGGCTGATTGACAAAGTACATTGCTGAGGGAAGCAGCGGGCCAGTCAGAAGAGGTCTGCTGAACCATGTGGATCACTTCTGGGGCGGGGATTGAACTCATACTGAAGTGGCTTTAGCTTCTTAGTGCTGTGCTTTAATCTACTGCACCACCAGGGAGGGTCCTGTATGGTATTTTTTTAAATCTCTTTTTATGTTTACATTTAAAGTGCTTCTTTTGTGGACAGTATATGTAGGATCTTGCTTTTTCATGCAAATTGACAATTTATGTATTTTAATGGAGCCCATTAGCAATATAGTTATTGATATGATGGGCTTTAAATATTCCATCCTGGTATTTTTTTTCTAATTGTATCCTATTTTTAGGTTTTCTTTTCTTCCTCTGTTGCCTTCTTTGGCTGAATGAGATAGTTTTCACTATACCTCTTTGTATTTCATATAAAAATACTACTAACTTAAAGTTTCATTATGAAAACATTGTTACTTCTATTCAAATTAGGGTATGTCATTGAACAGTTAAGAGAGGATACATAAAGAGAATGGGTACCTGCAGAAACCAACTCTCTGCATCAAATAGTCATAAAACTTTCTATATGTTGAAGAGTAGAAACTGATTACACTTGGAAAGAATTACCAGAATTCTTTGGGGCTGACACTGCCCTGCTCTCCTTTTTCCATCACAAGATGGCACCATGACCTGGTGAAACATTAAGCTAATCTGGTTATAACATAAAGCACACATTTATTAATCATGGTAGTCACTATCTGTGTCACTTCCTTCTTTCATATTATAAGAATTTTAGGAACCACCCTGGAAAATATGAAATAACTTCCTTCCAACTAAATTTATGTCAAAAAAAGTATGATTTTTGTGTAGTCAGTTATACAATTAACTCACAAGCAGCTGGTGCAGTTATTTGAAGTTTGCAATTTAGTTGAAAAGGTGATTATATAAGTATGTATTTGTCTAGAGTATATAAATATATTTTATATATTTATATAATAAAGTTAAAGAGCAGTGCAAATCTGTGTGTGACTGTTACAGGTAATAAATAAATAAAATAGATAAAAGACACCTATGTGGTCAATTAGGAAAAGAACAACCTTGGCACAGAAAAAAGGGCAGGAGTGTGACGACACCATACTCTCTCTATGGTCTAGTAGCTTTCAGAGCACATTTATCTTTGACATTTTCCTGAATTGCTTAATATCCAGCCTGGTTATGACTACTCTCTATAGAGGTTGTCAGTCATTTATAATAGAGAAACTAATAATTTTTTCCCTTTTTTCTCTTCTATATATAGATAGGTAGTGGTAAGTGTAACATGATTATTTAGAGGGTTGAAGTTTCATTTTGATTTGACTTTTCCTGGGTGGAAAACATTTACATCATTTTACACTTTTGAGCATAAGTTGTCTTCCTTCCTAGGTGTAATCAGTTTCTACATACAGAGGATCTTATGAATAATAAGTACAGATAGAACTAAAAATAATTGTGCAGGTAGGGTTTTGTTAGTCTTATGTGGAACACTGGCAGGAGAAAAGAGCAAAGGCACATTAGAGAAAAAGTTGTGGTAGATAGAGTATTTAATTTGATTTGCTTTCACCAAAGAGCCTTCCTTTAATGAAGAAGGTAAAACAAACAGGAAACAGGAGATTTGCACTAGCTATTAAATGTTTGATTTCTCATCACTATTAGTCACATTTGCATGGAACCATTTCAGGTTTTTGGCATATATAACCAAGTTTTTTTGTTCCAAAAGGAAAATCTTGAAAATTTTATGCTTGAGAGCACAATGAGTTGTTTTTAGCATTCTGCAGTTTGTTTGGGAATTCAGTAAGGTAGTAGTAAAGGGAGTACAATGCATGTCCATTTTTATGCTTACTAGCATCTTATATAGTCTCTACTGCATATTATGTACATGCACCTTTAACATCTTTTTCTTCCTGACAGCTTATAGCATGGGCCTGAATACTGTGATAAACTGAGTGGGGGTGAGATGCCAACAGTATTACAATGAGTTCTTACTGGCGAAAGTAAACCCCTTAGAATTTCTCAAGACCGTTACATAAAATTTTAAGTTCACGCTTTATCAGTACATAATTAAAATGGCATACTCTTTAAATGATTCACTTATTCTTCCATAATTGGCTGATGTTTCTCTTCTTGAGCTAGGGTTTAGCAATTTGTATGTGAAAATTTATTTTGCAGATATGTTATTGCTATTCTTAACAGCATTTTTATATGGGGGTTAGCATTAAAAATAGCTGGGGTCATGTCTTTTTTTTTAAGATTTATTTGTGCATACAGAACTGGGGTACAGACCAGAGGCTCAGGGGCGGTGAGAGGCTTCTTCACCAGCAGAGTGGGGAGCAGAACAGGCAGATGGATGAAGTACACTGCTGAGGGGAACAGCCGGCGGGTCAGGAGAGGTCTGCCACACCATGTGGTCACCTCCGGGGCAAGCGGGAATCGAACTCATGTGGAAGGGGCTTTAGCTTCTCAGTGCTGTGTTTTAACCCACTGCGCCACCAGGGAGGGCCTGGGGGTCATATCTTAACATAGTATTTACTTGTTTATTTGACTAATTTTCATATCTCTCATCTCAGTCCACAGAATGAGACTTAATAGGTTTTGTAGTCTTATTCTGCTACTGTGCTTGGACTTTTAATCTACTGGTAATGAAATATTCTCAAGAATAAATTTGCCTAGAATTCCCAAAATAAATTAATAAAATTATATTAAAAAATACCTTCCTGGGCCCTCTCTAGTGGCACAGTGGGTTAAACACAGCACTAAGAAGCTAAAGCCACTTCAGCATGAGTTTGATCCCCACCCCAGAGGTGACCACATGGCATATCAGACCTCTCCTCACCGGACCGCTGCTCCCCTCAGCAGTGTACTTCATCAGTTGGACTGTTCTGCTCCCCACTCTGTCTCTGGTGAATCCTCTCACCGTCCCTGC